TTTTTGCTTTTTTTAGTTTAGTTTTTTTGTTTTTAGTTTCATTGGATTGGGTCGGGTCATTAGAGCCCAAAAACACAAAACCATTCATCCAAACATTGCAAAATAGTTCAAACACCAAACAAAAAAAAAAAAATGGAATCTGGAGAGAAACGGAATTGAAAATTAGGGTTCATCTATTTCAAAAAGAAAGAACATGTTCATCATAAAAAATCATATTAACCAACAGAAAAAAAAGAGTTAAAGCCTATTGTAGTCCTCACACTTTGTGAAAATGTTCATTACCATCCCTCTACTAAGGAAATGTTCAATGTCATCCCTCTACTTTTCTTACACCATTATTGTCATCCCTCTACTACTCTTTTTTTGTTAGATGTCCTTAATTGGATGCCATCCATTTTGCAGTAATAAAAAAATTATTTATAAGATCAATTATCAATAATTAAAAATGTAACAATTTAATTCCAAAAGTTTAAAAAATAAAAAAATTAATAACTCAAAAATAATTAATAAATGACTTTATCACATATATGAGAATAATGTTAGATATTTATAATTAGATCGAGTGATTAACTCAATCTAACTAAAGAAATCTAATTAAGATTAAAAAAAATTTCTTGGCTATATTTTTTTGGTCTCTTAAATTTTCTATCTTAATTCAATTAAAAAATTTTCCTTAATTTCAATCAAAATTCTTTCTCCTAATTAAGTTAATCACTTGATTTGATTATAAATATCTAATACTGTTTTAGTATATGTTTTAGTATATATGAAAAAATCATCTATTAATTTTTTTTAGTTTACTAATTTTTATAATTTTTGAACTTTTAGAATTAAATTGTTACATTTTTAAGTTTTAAGGATTAATCCTATAACTATTTTATTTCAATTTTAACAGAGAATTAACAGATTTCGTTAATTTAGGTGCTAAAACCAGAAAAAATAATACAAAACTAAAAAAAATAAAGAAATTGGTCCCACTAGTCCCACTAGTATCACTACATGGATAAAAAATTAATAAACAAAGGGTTATTCTAATTTGTATCTTTAGGGTATCAATTAAAAGTTTTAAAAAAATAAAAAATAAAATTTAATTTATCAACTATCTAATTAAATTTATTTACATAACAATAACACTAAAATTAATGTTTACTTTTATATTTTTTTATACGAATTTATTATAAAAAGTGTCATTAATATGTGCTCTTAGAAAAATTTATAAACAAAAGTTGAATATTTAACGGTTAGGCAATTAGTGGTCAAAGTTAACAGCAAAATGGATGACATCCAATTAAGGATGACATTGAACAAAAAAAGGATAGTAGAGGGATGACATTTATGGTGTAAGAAAAGTAGAGGGATGACAATGAAAATTTCCTTAGTAAAGGGATGGTAATGAACATTTTCACAAAGTACGAGGACTACCGTTGGCTTTAACCTAAAAAAAAAAAAAAAACACATTCACTAGACAAAATGAATTGCACAATTTTTTTTTATTTTTCATTCACAATATCACTCTCAAATACACTTACAGTACGTCAAGAAAACCCAAAAAATAAAAGCAAGCATTGGCTAAGGTTTTTGAAGAAAGATCAAAATTGAGGGAAGGGATCCCACCCACGGGAGCAAGCTCCAACCCTCTCCCTCACCACCTTTCTCAAGAACCTCCTCTGATGAGAAAATTACCTACAGAAACAAATCCAGAAAAGGCACACTTCTTGAAACTCAACAATGTCTCCTCTTCTAGCCGTTGTTGCCCCCTTTCTTCCCCACGTAATCCCCTTCTCCTACTCTTCGAAAACTCAGAAGGAGACTCCCAAAATCAGACCCAAAATCAACAAAAGACCCCCCTTTACTCTGCTTTTTGCTCCATATATACACCCAAATAATAAAATAAAATAAAATGAAATAAATAAATAAATAAATAACTTGCTCTGTCAATCACTAATGATGCCAATTTTGTCTGGTATTGCTGTTTTTTCTGTAGGTGAGGCAGGGACAGGGTTGTAGCAAGCAGGAGTGTAGAGGCACGGGATTGGGGGCGCACAGTGCAGGAGGCGCAGCAGGGTGCAGGCTTCGGTGCAACAGGGCACAGCAGGGTGCAGCATGGCGCAGGTTTCGGTGCAGCAGAGCGCAGGCTCGGGTGCAGCAAGGCGCAGACTCGGGTGTAGCAGGGGGCAGACTCGGGTGCAGCAGGGCGTAGGCTCGGGTGCAGCAAGGTGCAGGGGCGCCGGCGGCGGGGAGGCGCAACAGCAGGGGGCACAGGAGCTAGGGGCGCAGAGCAGGGGCTAGGCTTCGGAGGAGAAGATTCTGGAGAGCAAAAAGATTTTAACTCCTTTTTTTTGGGTTCTTTGTGATTTTTTTGGGTTTGGGTCTTGATGGGTTGATTTTTGGGCCATTTGAGATGGGTTTGAGAAATGGGCTGAACTTCAAGGCTTTTTGTATGATTTTTTGTAATTTGGCCTTGCACTTCAAATTCCTTCAATTAAGTCCCTTTCTTAAGTTTCTTTTCCCATTTCTATTTGAATTTCTTTTTGCACATAGCACCTGAAACAAAACAAAGGTATATTAGTAAAAAAAAAGAGAAATTTTCATATTTTTATATTTTATGATTATTATTATTATTTTTAATTAATTTTGTGATCGATATATATGTATGAAAAGTCTAAATAAACTAAATGAAAAATCGGGTTATGATAGGTACCCCTAATCCTTTTTTATCTTTCCCCAAATAGACTTTATCTTAGGAAACCCAGTGGATTTTCCTCTTGCCATCCATCCCTACCCCCCACAGAAAGTTCTGTTCTAGTTTTTCAAGTGTTTGCAACACACACATTGGTAATTTAAAGGCAGAGAAATAATATAAAGGAAGAGAAGAGAGTACCGATTTAAGAAGTATTAGCCAACCACCGTAAGATAGGGAGCTCGATTTCCAACTTGATAATCTTCGTTGAAATCTTTATGCCATTGGCATCCACATCTTTCTTCTTCTTGGGTTGTCACCCACCAGCATACCCAAATACATAAAAGGGACTGACCCTCTCTTGCATTTTAGAAATTCAGCCGCCCTCCTCATCCACATTTCATCAATTTTCACTCCAATAATGTTACTTTTCTTGAAATTGATTTTCAAACTTGACATTAGTTTGAACCACCTAAGAATCCCCTTAACAACCCATACATAATCCATATTTGCCTTGCTTAGAATCACTGTATCATCAGCAAATTAAAGGTGTGAAATGGATAATTTCCAATTCTAATCCCCTCAAGTAGTCCCACTTTCACAGCCTCCTCTAACAAATAATGCAGTCCTTGTGCCACCAACAGGAATAGAAAGGGTGAAAGAGGATCACCCTGTGTTAGCCCTTTCTCCGGTTTAAATTCCTCATTGGGATTACCATTTACTAATATAATATAGAAATGGTTACAAATGAGACACACTCCATGATCCATTTTCTCCATCTAACCCCAAAGCCATAGTTTTGCATAATGTAGTTTAAAAAATCCCAATTCACACAATCATATGCTTTCTCAAAATCCACTTTTAGGATAAAACTCTTCAACCTTTTTCTCTTCATCTCATCGACAATTTCATTCAGAGCCCAAACACCATCTATTATTTGCCTCTTCCCCACAAAAGCTGATTGATTTTCATAGATTAGACCATCCATAACTGACTTTAGTCTATTAGCTAAAGTCTTGGTTAAGATCTTGTATAAGCTGCCAATGAGGCTTATTGGTCTATAATCTTTGAGCTCTATTGGATTTTCCACCTTAGGTATCAAGACAATGAAACTAGAATTTATACCTTTCACCAGTTTGCCATTGGCGTTAAACTCCTGCGTAAAATCCATGATATCCTTCTCTAAAATTTCCCAAGCAAATTTGATGAACCTAAAATTGAACCTATCTGGTCGAGGAGATTTCTCACTACTACATTCTGCTACTACTGCCTTCACTTCTTGGATTGAAAACTCTACTTCCAGCCAATCCTTATCAACTTGGGAAATTTTTTTGAATTCCAGATCACTTATAGTTGGCCTTCTCCATTTCACTTCTAAAAAGTGTCTCTTGAAATAATCAACAAAATTGCATATTTCTTAATAGTTTGAAATCAAAATTAATTTTTTTAAAATTTATTTAAAACTCATTTAAAAATTATAATTTTTTGAATAGAATTTTAAATTTATGAAAGAAAATTTATTTTTAAAGTAAGTGCTCTTTAAACTTTACCTAACACCTTTTAAATCTTGTCTAAATCAAAGGGAAAAGAGAGGGCTTAGCTTTTATTTTAACCCTATATTTGAGTTGAGAGGAATGGAAAGGAGGGGAGGGAAAGGAAGGGAAGGGGAATTATTTCCTTATATTCCCCATTATTCTTCTCCTTTTCTTTTCCCTCAATTGGATAAATAACCAAATTAAAAGATAAAATAAAAAAAAATTAAAATTTTCCCCTCCCTCCCTTTCAAATTTTTTTTATAACTAAATAAAGATTTTTTTCCCCTCCTCTCCACTCCCCTCCATTCTCCTCAAATTAAACATATTGTAAATGATTGGATTCAATTCCTTATCTATGCTGTGAGAAAATTGTAGTTTAAATTTGGAGTAGATTTGTGGGAATGTAAAGTTTGATGTAAAGGGCTAAAGTACCCTTTATAACTAAATAATAAAAAATATTTATTTGTTGGGAAAAAAAAAAAACTAAAAACAAGCCTTCAAATGATAGAATTCTTCCGCTAAATAGAACCATTTAGCAAAATACTTTCAAGGATTACAATGGTTCTTTTTGTCCAGATATGTATATGGGAGGACATATCTTTCTTGACCCAAAGACTTTGCAACCTTGGATTTAATTGGGATAGCCTTAACATGGAGGCATGTCAGGTGGTGGTGGTAACATTTTGGCCTCCGGAGATTCGCCATCTTTAACTACGAACACTGTATCCATGCCCCAAACCATGTGTCGATCAAAATGGCAATGCATGTACCATACTCCTATTCAAGAAGAAAAAATAAATAGAAAAACAGAGAAAGAAGTTAATGATAATAACAACCATAACAATTTTGAAATATCGGAAAATGCTTTAATTAATTCCTAATTTTAGAGGGTGACACCACCAATTAAAGCTCAAACATTTGCACTAATTGAAAGTGTGTAATGGGTTGGAGAACCCCTTGAACAAGCAATAAAACTAATTTGTTGCTTTGCTGTTTAATTTTTTTTCTTCTTTTTTTGCGCCAAATGAAAGAAATTAAGCAATCATAAAATGCAAGAACCATATATCCAAAGAAATCTATGAATTAACAGCTTGTATTACATGTTTCAATAAACTTTATCTCGAAGATAAAACTTATACGTACCAGGATTGTTAGCCTTGAATCTTACGGTCATCCATCCAATTTTTGGAACATGAATGGTGTTTTGAAGAGGAGGGTCCACCAGATTGTACATTAAGGGATCCTTGTCCTTATCAAAATTCCCCATACCCAACCCCACAACATAAAAATTATATCCATGAAGATGCATCGGATGGTCACTACCGTTTAGCAAGTTTGTCCCCTGGAAAACCAGCTCCACGGTGGAATTGTAATCTAGCATCCTCACTTCCGTCCTTAGTTGCGGATACTCCCACTCCATCGGTAAATAATCGGCAGTGAAGTCAAAATATAATTGAGGAAAATCAGGAAAATTAGTCCCAAACACACCATGAATGCAGCAGTAGTAAGCTTGTAATATATCAATGCTGGGATTGATGAAGCTTATGTTGTTCACACTGGCTAAGAGTCTCCATGCACCATCTACACATAAGGTTTTTTTATATAAGTTAAACAAAACAGTTATTATTATTATTTTTTTTTTGATTTCAAATTGTTTAAGAAAAGATAATCCTCTTTCATTCTTTACTCATCACACCCATATATCATATGATTTAAATTCAAAATTTCTAACTTTACTTGGAGAAAAAATTACCACTAAGCAACTTAATAATTTTTAGTATAACTAAATATATTCTTTTAGGCCTAGCTTTGAGCGCTCACACTTTCATCTTTAATCTTCAAAATTAAGTGATTGGCTCCTTAACCTTTTACTATTTACCCCTATTTTTGTTTGAGGGAAATGAAGGGAGAGGAGTGAAGAGAAATGGAAGGATATTATTTTCCTTCCATTTCCCTCTTCTCCCTTTCCCTTCTCTTGTTTGGTTAGACTAAATTACAAGCATAATTAAAGCAAAACACTGGAAAATTGCTCATTTGCTCTCCAATTTTTTGTGAATCAATTGATAGAGAAATTTCTTTCCTTCCCCTTCCCTTCTTTCCTCTCAAACCAAATAAGTGTGAGTGCATGTGCATGTGTGTGTATATATATAAAAAAGGGAGAGCATTAATGGTATTGATTTAACTTGACTAATTTTATGGTACAAATCCTCGCCATCCATGGATATTGGACGAATTTTCCCCCATAATTCTGGTAATTCAAATAGAAAATTATATATGAAAAATTCAAAATTATATACAGATTAAGGGTAGATTTAAAATAATATTTATCATGTAATATTTTTTTTGATTGATAAAGAAAAATTTTATTAATAAAGTACAAGGAGTACTCCAATAATATTTATCTTGTAATTAATATTTTTGTATATAATTAATAAAAAATAAGTATACTTCAAAAAGAATACCTGGGCAGGAGTGGTTTTTGCATGGAGTGTTCATTGAGAGAGTATAGAACAAATGTGTGTTTATTTCCATTGGCACATCAACTGGATGCTCCTTATCAGCTAAACTCCGAAGACTAGCGGTAAAATTAAGGGTTGCTTCTGTGTCATTATGGCTAGGAAGATGGGGGAACACCGGCAGCGAGGATGGAGTGTAGTTTCCATTATATTCTACAATAGCTGTGGTGGTGGAGTTGTTGTAAGCACCTGCCACAGCAATGGAGAACACGCTGGCACCCATGTAATAATGATCGGGACTTTGGTTGGCTTCTAGAAGGACATCAATGGTCTGGCCTGGGGATATGTAAATGAAGGTTCTCTTGAATGGTTTTAGATAGTTACCGTCAGATCCAACCACTGTGATAGTATGGTTGGCAACAGAGAAGAAGAGGCTATCTAGCATGATGGAGTTGACTATTCGAAGGAGATAAGTCAAACCTTTGTTCACCTTGAATCTAAAAATTTCTGTAAATATATTAAAAAAAGAAGTATCAGGTAATAATCAACATTTACCTTTAAATGTAGAGATATATTTTGAATGTGAGGTAGTCCCTATTTAAGGATTTACTTTTACAGTTAAATTTTAAAAAAGAGAAGTCAATAGAAATTGAATTAAAGGTTGGAAAACTAAAAGTAATAAATTTTAATTGCTAAATAGATAAATATTGCGAGAAGTGTTAAATTAAGGTTAAAACCCCTTTTTGGTCCCTGAACTATTGTACGGACCCCCGATTTGGTCCTTGAACTAAAAAAATCCCTGATTTGGTCCCTACTATTTACCATTTTTACCCCGATTTGGTCCTTCCGTTAAAATCTCACCGTTATCTCAAACAATTTAATGACATGTCAAACCTTTGAGACACGTCAGTTGTATAAATGAATAAATAATGACATGGCAACATGACATGTCATCTCCTTGCCCAACCCAACAAAAGTGGGACCCACCAAAATTACGAATTTGCCATCATCTTCTTCCTCCAGCAAACAAACCCAGCACCAAACAAAACTAGCACCTTGGTTGAATCGAACCCAACAACGCCCTTTTTTTTTCCTTCCTCTTCCTTGCCTTGCTTTCTTCATCATCATCAAACACATCATCATCATCATCATCAAACACCAAAACCACAGAAAAAAAAAAATATATTTTTTACCCCTGGGTTCGAAGAACCCAGGCGTGGGTTCGAGGGAACCTAGCGCTTGGGTTCCTTCAAACCCAGGCGTGGGTTTGCCTGGGAACCCAGCGCGTGGGTTCCTTGGAACCCCGGCGCGGGTTCCATGGAACCCAGCGCCTGGGTTCCGGCGTGGGTTGGAACCCAGGCATGGGTTCGCCTGGGAACCCAGCGCCTGGGTTCCGGTGTGGGTTGGAACCCAGGCGTAACCCCTGGGTTCCTTGGAACCCAACCCGGGCAAGCGTGCTGGGTTCCTTGCGAACCCAACGCCTGGGTGGGTTCGAAGGAACCCAGGCTTGCTGGGTTCCGAGGGGGAAGAGAAGGGAAAGGGGAAGGAGAAAGGGAAAGGGAAAGGAGAAGGAGAAAGAAAAAGAAAAAAGAAAAAAAAATTTAAAATTTATTTTTCATAATATTTTTTTATATTATTATTTTTTCCACATCATCACTTTTTGACTATATTATCTTCCACGTGGATTATTAGATGACATATCATCGTGTTCCCGTTAGTTAATAGCACACGTCACTAGATTTTTAACGGAAGGACCAAATTGGGGTAAAAATGGTAAACAGTAGGGACCAAATCATGGATTTTTTTAGTTCAGGGACCAAATCCGGGGTCCGTACAATAGTTCAGGGACCAAAAAGGGGTTTTAACCTTAAATTAAAGGGTGTATCAATCATTTTAATGAGAAGTTTCACATATATATTGTTTTTCTTTTTTTTTTTTACCATTTTTGCACGGTGTATTATTGGTAACAAAGTTTGCAACTATTTTAAAATTAGGTGAAGACCGTTAGTTCCAATATTTCTGATATTAATCACTGTTTTTTTTTTTTTTTTCGTATTATATTAGGTGCATTTGTTAATA